ATTGTTTTTAACTTGGTGTTGCTCAATTTTGGAGCAAAATCGTTTTAAAAAGGAGTTTCACATTATTTTGTTAATGTTATTTATTTATTTAAATAATTAACTTTATTTATTTTATGTTATTTATTTCAATTAATTATTTATTTTATTTATTTATTTAATAATGGTCGAAAAAACGAATGTCTTCCTATTACTCAACTATAAATCGAACCCTAAGTCCGATTAAAAAATGCCGAATCTTAACCTGATTAACCTGTCCTGAACTTTGGTTCGAATCATGCAAAAAATCATTTAACATGTTTCTTTAATTTTCTCTTTTATGAAGGTTTCTTAATCGAACCGCGTTTAGGCGAAACATTTTTGTGAACCTTGAGTCGAAACGTCGCTTTGTGAGTATTTGAATCGAGCCCGTCTGATTGGGTTAAAATGAGTCAAACCTTGACTGCACTTTGTCGAAATAAATCATTTATGCTGGGTTTGCAGCTTCGTTGAATCAAGTGAAACTTGAAGGATAACAAAGGATACTCGCTGGTTGCCCATCCTCAGCAACATGTTGCATGTACATTTAAATAATATGGTGTGTCTTATGTCAGCTCAGATTATAAACTATGCCTTAATTCAATTCGGCTGCTAAGAGACAAGTGCACAAATCGAGTCAACACTCGAACATATTTAACTGACATAATCGAAAATGTAGTATGAGTGTGTATGTGTGTGTGTGTGGGTATGTTTAAATGAAATTGCTTGATTCGGCATAAACATATTTACTCTGTTGAATATTTGCTCAACAATTTGATTTGGAATCCTGTGCCCTTAGATACCACTTGTGCATAGTGGTAGATGTGCATCTAAATGGAATTGTACCAAGGACGCGCTCAACGGAACAATCGAAGTAGGCAAACAAGCCGAATAGCCCCCTAGCCCCAATCCGGATTCCTCTTGTCATAGACAGAGTCAGATTGACACTCACAGGGTTCGCGCCCTACAGATGTCAGCAATTTCTCGATTTGAATACATTCAACAAAAACGAAAGTGGGCAAACAATTCAACAGCGCATAAAGAAAGAAGGGCAACATACAACATAAAAAAAAAAAATAAAAAAAAAAAAAACAGAATAAAAACACAGAGGAACCCGCGCAAATGGCTTCTCTAACGACCCAATTAATTTGAAACAAAAAAGTTGCAAATAAAAAAATACAAAAACAGAAGCGTTTGAATTTGAAGAAGCAGCAGCAACTGCTTTATGGCCACAGAGTGGATAACGCCACGGGCCACTAAATGCCGTCTCCAGCTCCGACTTCGACTTGAGCTCCAAGCAGAAGTTGCAGCGCGAGAGAAGCTCCCGCAACGAAAAAGTTCGCCAATGCCGACAGCTTCATTACAGCCATCATCATCAAACATCATCATCATCATCATCATCTGCCCATGAGTAATTTGCCAAGCAAAAGTTTATTGTTGCTGGAGCTCATCTCAAGCTGCTGGCGATGTGAACAGTGCTACCAATTCAGCTGTTTTCCAGCTAAATTTGCTATTTTAAAATTCAAAATTGCTGCATGTTTCGGATACTCCAACAAATATTTCAGCTATGAATTCGGTTGACTTGATCGCAAATTAATATAAGCTCGAGCTGATCGAGCTTGGCTCAAACATGTTCGAGCTCGGTTCGAACATGCCTTTAACGGCTGCGTACAAGCTGTTGCCACCTCGAGCTGATCGAAGTTCGTTATTATGAGCACCTACTAGATTGAAGAATTGTTTATTAAACCTAAAATTTAAGCTCGACCTGATCGAGCTCGGTTAAAACATCTATATTCCGGTTGTGCTCGAGCTAATCGTACGTTCGCACATGTTGCCAGCTCGCGCAGGTCACACTTCGTTCTTATGAATACCTTCTAGATTGGAGAATCGTTTAATTTTAAGGCAAGTCCCATTGTCAACCTTGCACCTTTAGATTATTTTGGTTATTTTTATTTTATTTTATTTTTAATTTATTTTTATTTTATTTTTAGCGTTAGTTTAAGCTAATTTGGCAGCACTGGCTGTGAAGTGGGTTGCAAAGAAGAGTTGCCGAGAGATGAACGGGAGAATCGTGGTGCGTGTAGAGCGTGGAGCGTGAAGCGTGCGGCTTGGTTCGCTTAGAACGAAAATGCGGATATATAAGTTTTAAGCACAGATGCTGTGCGATCGCAGTCTCGGGTCTACAGGCAGGTTGTGAACAACACAACGTATATCCCACTGAGAGCTCTCCCTACGCTAATTTAAATATCTACTAACGATGTCCAAGTATATGAGCTGCATTCTAATCGCTCTGCTTATGTTGGCTGTGTGCATTTTGACCAAAGGTGAGTAGCCGCAAATAAATATAAATATATAAATCACATAAGTTGGGCATAATTGTACGAATTGCTTTCATTATTATTGCACATCTGTTCACGTTTCTATTGTTTGAAACTGGTTTTTTAATTTCTAAAAACCCAACTGTGTGCATGGGCGTACAGAGCGAAGGGGCTGCTTCTCATTCCAGAAGCAGCAACAGCTTCAGCTCTGAGCTCTCAGCTCGTTAGTCATAATTACGTTGTCGTTGCGCGCCGTGATTCAAGGTTTCCGGGTGTATGTCATTGAAGATTACCAGGCTGATAAGGCAAAGAGCTGGCAAAGAGCTGGCAAGAGCTGGCAAGGCAATGATTTAATGGCTTGTAATTAAATTTTTCTTAGCTGCGCCCTATCAGGAGCTGGAGCCACGCAAGGGTCATGTGCCAGTCTACATACGCCATGGGGATGAGGCTCTCAGCAATATACATCCCGGCCTGGCGGAGGCCTTTAAGGAGGACAGCGCCCAGCCCCTACGGGCAGAGGTAAAGCACAGCCAAAAGCAAAACACCAAATATTGAATTTAAGAGTTTTTTTCTTTTTCTACCATTGCCACAGAACCTTATTACGGAAGTGTCGACAACCAATCAACCAGCTGTGGCCGAAGCGGCGAGCCCAAACAGTTCAACAGAATCGGATATAGCCAGTTTTGATGCCATCAAATCGAAGGACGCATGATTCAATTGAATAAATACCAAGTGACTCAAATGTTTCTCATACTTATGAGATGCTAGAGTTTAATCTACAAATACCAAGTGATTCGAGTGTATTCTTTAAATACCAAGTGATTCGAATATATTTGAAACTTATGAGATACTAGAGCTCATTCTTTACATACCAATTGATTCGTATGTCACTAAAACTTATAAGTTACCAGTGTTCAGTCTGTGAGCTGCTGAGCATATCTGACTCAAATGTTTCTCATGAGTTGCTAGAGTTCATTCTATAAACACCAAGTGATTCGAGTTTATTCTTTAAATACCAAGTGATTCAAATGTATTCGAAACTTATGAAATGTTGGAGCTTATTCTGAAGGGCTGCTGAGCAGGGGGACAGCTCGTTAACTGTTTGGCAGCCGTCTCTCCTCGCAACTCGTTGGCCAAATCGCCTTAGAGCTTTGCGTGTGATTTACTTGTTTTGGCCCATTAGCGAGACAGGAACTGGCTGGAACGCCTGGGATGCGGCGTCGCAAACGTTTGTAATTAATATAATGGCGACGGCTGTGCTGGCAATGGGAAATGGCGATGGCGATGCCGATGGCTGTGGTTGTGGCTTGGGCTTCAGCTGTGGCTGAAGCACTTCCAGAATGGCCTACACACATTGCGGTGCTTCGGGCCACAAATTGTTGTTTCATTGTCCTTGGCTGGGGGCTATGGGCTGGCGGCAAGGCTGTCTAACGAGCAATAAAACTAAATACATACACATAAAGTTAATTATAAAAGGGCAAAGGAAATTGAAGTTGCCAACAGACTATTGAGCTGTCGATGCAAGTGACGGATTAAGCTAAAATAGGATGCGATCTGGCCGAAACGAAATCAGCCAAATGAAGAAGAGCCACACACAACTTGGCTGTGGCCAAACGGCTAGCAATCAACTGGTCATTATCGGGAGTGCATGACTCGAAGATATCCAACAAAATATATAATATTTATTATATAATATATAATATATAATATATAATATATAATATATAATATATAATATATAATATATAATATATAATATATAATATATAATATATAATATATAATATATAATATATAATATATAATATATAATATATAATATATAATATATAATATATAATATATAATATATAATATATAATATATAATATATAATATATAATATATAATATATAATATATAATATATAATATATAATATATAATATATTATATATAATATATAATATATAATATAATATAGCGGGAAATATGCTTTCTTGACTAAGTTCGGCGTTTATTGTCCGATTTTCATTTTCAGGGCTTAAAAAGTATTTTATTTATAAGATTTTGGTAGAAACAAATGCAGATATTCAAAAAGTAAATAATTGTAGATGTATATATACTATACGAGGGCCTACGTTTAAAATGTGATCTTTAGCGCTAACAAGCTCTGAGATATTGGAAAAAAAAGTGGGAAAAAAGTATTGAAAGTGGAAAAGTGGGAAGTGATATGTCGAGATCGACTTGATTTATAATGTAATTGAATGGGCGGAAAAGCGAAGAAGAAAATAATCATACCCTTTTAGCCAACTTTAATGGTTACAGGATATAACAAAAAGGCAAGAAAATAGAAATGATAAAAAAACGTAAAACGAAAAAAAAAAACGGAAAAAACTACGCATAGTAAAAGCGATTTTTACGCTGCCTGGCGTTTAAGAACTGCTGCTGAATTTAAATTTGCTTCCTTTAGCAGCAGGAGCTGCCCGAGGAGGAGCTCGTGTATCTATGTGTGCGTTCGAGCGCATTCAAGCTCAAAATGAATAATTGCATATGCTTCAATGATTTGCGACTTTGTGCGAATGTCAGGCTTTAAGGCCAGCCGCCTGCCTCCCACCTGGCTCTGGTTAAAGGTGAGAAGCGTCCATTGGATTGCTGGCTAATTCGAAAATTGCTGGCCACTTAATTGGCTGGTCCAAAACGAGCGCTTAAACAATAATCGAGTTAAGTGTTATGTGGAACGATTATCGCCTGCTCTTATTATTATTGGCTGGCCATTAACACGGGCCATCCAAATGGGATTCGATGGCTCTGCTTTGGCTTTTTATTGGTTTAATGTGCATACATTTTCGGGTTAGCTCTCTATTTGCCATTCAGCAGGGTGTTCAGAATTCCGGCACCCCCAGGGCCAGCACCTCCAGCTCCCCCGGTTACCCCGTGAACGTTGACCAGACTGCCCAGCAAATTGTTGCCATTCAGATTGAGGAGACAGCTGAGGAGATGGAGACGTAAGTACGGGTAATCCTTGCCAGCAATCGCAATACTTACCGCAGATCCAGGCGTATGACTTGCCGACACGCCCATTCTTGCATGCACTAAAATTCAATTGTCAATATGTTTTTTTCAGCTAATATGCAATTTTATATTCTGCCTGGAACTTACTCTTATAATCTCAGGGGATGGCCTGGGACATGAGCCACCTTCAGACCAACCACCTCCAGATCCACCACCTCCGGATCCACCGCCATCACCTGGCTTCGGCTTAAGGGTTTCCTGTGGGGTTCAACATAGACAAAATATGTATAAGCTCCTGATCTGATTAGTCACCTGCAATAATACTCACCGTATGACCCAAGGCCTGGTCGCGTTTAGAAGTACAAATTTATTAAAGAGATTTGAAATAATTGCATCCACATTTGAAGCTTACCAGCCCAAGTATGCCCAAGACAACAGCTACAAATAGAACTTTATGCATCTCAATAATTTCCGGTTGACTCTGACGAGACCGACCGATCTATCTGTTGCTTTTATAACCCCATCCGACAATGGGCCAGCTTTATGGGCACACATCTGTTCCATTATGCTCCCAAATAGGGCGCTGAACAATGCGCGAACTTAGTGGGTCATTATACATTATGTCGTATACTCATACAGACAAAACCCATTTATATTCCGATCTCTATGAAACGCAGAATTAAAATATGGCATCCAAAAAGATAATATATATTTCGAGTTCCATTTCTCTGAATCATATAGTTTACGAGATCTACGCGTTCAGATGCTTCCTCTAGCTTCCCAGATTTTTACAAAAATATATTATGTTTTGATAATAGTAAGTCCTTATTAATTGTGCTTGACATCTTAAAGAAAATGTATCTTTCGAGTTCACATTCTCTGGACCTTATAGTCTCTGAGATTCCCTCGGCCTCCCACACATATTTGAACAAAAACATATTAATTATTATTTTGATAATAGTAAATCTTTATTTATCATGCAAACCATTTTACACTCACATAAATAGGTAGGTTCAATTTCTTTACGAGTACTTTTAAATTGTTTTTTTGTTTTTCTTTTGGCAACTACATACATATATGTGTATAAGTAGTGGGCAAGTTTATATGTTTACGATATATGCACGTTACGAGAGGTAATTGTACAATAATTCATTCTAATAATACCTTTATGTATACGAGTAATATGACCTCTCATTTTGCTAGACGATTAGTTATACGATAATTATTTAATTGTGTCTGCAAAACGTGGCAGAAAAAAATGACCAAACGCACATTCATACGAGTAATAAGCGGCAATTCAGTTGTACAATTGGGTGTTTCCAGATATTCGATTTGGAGCCTTGCCTTGATTAATCGATTTGTATCCAACTCAGAAACTCAACCGATTTAAGCGCAAACGGAGTGAGCTTTTGAGTAGCGAGCTAGCGATTCATCAAACCCGCAGATATTCAGTCGATCAAAGCTCGAGCTTGTCGGCAACATGTTCGAGCTAACGGCTCGAACGAAATTTTCGAGTTTGAAAGAAGCTCGAGCAGCTCGTGTTTATGTTTTCGATTGAATTTTTATCTGCGCTTGTACTTCGGGTGGGGACTAAGAGGGTAAAATTACTCATATCTAAAGAACAATATCAAATTTACGGTTATGGTCGACTACAAGGTCCGGCGTATCCTCAGGCGCACTGCGTCTTCTTGCAGTTACACAGCCACTTGATGATTCTCGCATTGCGCTCCACGATTGATGGCGGCTCCGAGGGCCGATAGGGCTGGGTAGTTTGCGGCTGTGTCTCGGTGCTGTCCGGCAGTCGCATCGAGTCCACGGTGCTGTGGTCCGAGAAGAACACGGTGCTGGAGTCATCCGAATCGGTTTCGGGATTGTGCTGCCGCCGGGGCTGGCTGTAGAGCTCGTGGAACGCCTCGTCGTTCAGGCCCAACCGATCAAAGAACTTCTCCAGCTCGGATATGCTGGCGTTCAATGCCTCCCGCTCCATGTCCATGGCGGCCGACTGGCTTGCATAGCCGTCCGCCGAAAAACCCTTGGGGAAGAACACATTCTCGTGCTCCATGTTGCGCTTGTAGCCCGCCGATCCGCCGCCGCCCCCGCTGAGACACTCCATGGCCTGGTTGATGGGCGAGGTGCGTGGTTGGACAGGCAGCCGGTTGCGATTCTTGAAGCGAATGCAACGCTGCCGCTTAAATTGTATGGGCGGCGGGCTAATGTCGTCCACGGACGGCGCCGAGCCGGGACTCTGCGCCAGAGAGCTCTGCGAATGGTTGATACTCGTGTAGCCCTGGGAGCTGGTGTGTAGCTGCTGGCTGGAGGAGCTCGAGTAGCGCGGCGTTTGGGTCTTGAGGCGCGGCGACGGCGGCGTCGGTGTATAATCATCCTGGAACGCTTCCGGCACCTCCGGCGTGGGCGTGAAATTGAGCAAGTAATCGGCGGCCGCATGATCAAAGCTCGGCGCCGCGTCCGGCTTGCAGCGGCAGTCCAGGCAGTCCGTGTTGCGTCCGGCAGGCGTCACATAGCCGCAGTACGAGTTGGCGCTGTGCTGCGTGGAGGAGCCGCTGTCCCGCCGTGTGGCGGCCACCAGATTGCAGCAGTTCTTAATCGTGCCGCTGGCGGTCCCCGGATTCGTCTCGCGCTGCCGCTTATAGCACGGCTCGCTGCGGTGCGTATAGTGGCCGGAGCTGCCGCCGGAGTCGCGATTGATGGACGACTCCCCCGCGGACTTGATGGAGCGATTTCCCCGGCTGCAGCAGCTCAGTATCTCGCTGTGCGGCGAGTGCCGGCTGATCTGCGTGTGCAGATCGGGCAGAGATTTGTGGCTATTGATGTTAAACTCGCCCGCCGTGTACGGAGCACGCTCGTCCGGAATGGCCACCTCGTGCGAGTGCGAGTACGAGCGCTGATAGTTGTACCTGTCCGGGAGAAAAACAAACATTCAGTGGAGGAGCTGCGTCCGACTACTCTACTCACCTGTAGCGCTCGTTATGCGCCTGGCTCGACTTGGCTGCGTACTCGGCAGGCGGACTGATCGGTCTGTAGTTCTCGGTGAGCACCAGCGGCTCCTCGCCGCCGCTGTTCGGCTCGCTGGGATAGCCGCCGCCATAGGCCTTGTCCCTGCCCCCGAAGGCATGGGCGGGCAGGTAAAGCGGCGGCGGAATCCTCAGCGCGCTGCTCTCCTCCTCGCCGGCCAGCAGCAGCTCCGGATTGCCGTCGCCCAGCTCATGGCGTCGCAACGTGCCGGCGCGCTCCTTGCCCGCCTCCGAGCCGAGCAGCATGCGCAGCTTGTGCTGCAGTAGATTGTTGTTGACTGCCGCACCGGGTCGTTCCCTCGTCTGGCCGTGCATGGCCTGGCCGGGATTGTGCCTGTGATGGTGATGCTGGTGATGATTGTGCAGACCGTATTGCTGCTGCAACTGCGCCTGCTGCTGTTGCTGCTGCTGCCTGGTCAGGCTGATGTAGCGCCTATCCTCCAGTTCGTCGTACGAGGCACCGTAGTGTCCCTCTTCCGGCCGGCGTCCGCGCTTGACTCCCGCTCCGGCGCCATTGCCTCCGCCGCGATAGCCGGACTGCTGCAGTCGCTCGAAGACCGCGTCAGACTTGATGTAGAAGGGCTTCGATTCGGCCAGCAGCTCTACGGCGGACTTGCGCTTGTTGTAATTAAAGTGTCTGCCGCTGCTGTGATAAAACGAACCCGGACCCGGATGACCCTGGCTCTGGCTCTGGCCCTGGCTCCAGTAATTGCGGCAACCCGTCGCCGTCTCCGGCAAAGCCGACGCCGACAGCGGACGCTGCGACATGCTGCCCGTGGCCATATACAACCCACCTCCGTGTCCATTATACTCGCCGGGCATCCCGACTCCTCCTCCGCCAAAGAGCTGCTGGCTTGTCGCGTAGAGTGTCTGGCTGGCGGTGCGCGTATATTTCGGCATCGTTGTGTACATTGCGGGCGTCGACCCGTGCTGTCCACCAGGTGAGCTGCTGCCGTTGCAAGAACGCTGCCGCGGACTGCTGCAGCCGTGCGCCACGGTGGCCATGTCCAAAGAAATCAACTCGATAGCCTTGAGTTTTCCTATAGCACTGAGGCGTCGCCGTCGACGTCGCTGCCGGTGTCGCTGTCACCTGCTGCTGCTCTGCTGCTGCTGCTGCTGCGTCTCGGCCTCAAATGTATAGGAGACTGGGTCTGGGATTGGGTCTGGGTCTGGGGCATGCGCAGTTGTAGGCGTGCTGCGTATACTAAAAAATTACAATACAATAATTTTCAGCTGCACTTTTTTCTTCTTCTTCTCCTTTTTGCTTTAACTAAAAGAATTTTTCAAGAACATTTGTCATAATTAAAGGCAATTGCTTAGATTTAAAGATAAAGTCTGTGTATATAGTATATATGTATACCCAAAGTTTATTTATAGACGGGACGCAGACTTTTCTGCGTAGTTACTTTTAGAAAGTTGGAAAATTCATCTTCACACACGTTTTAACGATTAAACGATTTTCTTTTTAAGCAAAATAACTAAACACATTTCAGATTTAACACTTACCCAATTAATTGCTTCAATGTGCTTTAATTGTGACCAATGTGCTGGCATGTGACGACGTCGGCTGCAAGGACTACGACTCTTCCGATTGTCACACTTTGAATAACAGATGTTGTTTCGATTCCAAATCGTTTCAGCTGCTAAAGCCTGCGCCTGCTCAATAACGGTATAAAGCCAAGCAAGTATTTTCCAGCTAAGTTTAAGCCAAATTGTGCTCGCCAAGCTAAATCAGCTTTTTTTTCTATTTACAGCATTGGATTTCGCTTGAAAATATTTTCCAGCTAAATTTGGCTGTATTCAGTCTTTTTATTGCCAAATTGAGCTCACCCCGCTAATACCCGCTTTTTTTTAACTATTCACAACACTGTTTTGCGCTACGGCAAGTATTTTTCAGCTCAATTTGGCTGTTTTTAGTATATTTATTTTCAAGCTAAGCCAGCTTTATTTTAAACTATTTACAACATTGGATTTCACTACTTTTTAAAGGCTGCCAACACTGCCAAGTACTGCAATATATGACGTTTTCAGTAAAAGCTACATAAAGTCCATATTAATTGTAGTTTAACTAATGTATAAATTATACAGTTAAATAAACATAAATTTCATTTCAATTATGGTTTACCTTAACGTCTACTTTATTAATTTTATTGTTATTATTATTATTATTATTATTTTTATTATTATCATTATTTTTATTTTTATTATTATTACTTAGTTATTTTATTTAACATAACCATATATATTTTTTGCTTTTTGTAGTGTGTTCAAAAGTCGTCTGCATTCGATCATCTATTGCATATAAAGCTTTTTAGAGCTCGCAAAGCTTTTGTCGAAGAGCTTTGGGCTATAAAAGTGTAGAGTGCGCAGTTTGCGAGCAACAGTTGAAAAGCAGCTGCGCGAGAGAGAACGCAAGATGTCGGCGGGAAACAAGGCAACATATGTTAAGCACAATAACGGCACCCAAATCCAGGCAATTGGCCTGGGCACTTATTCGGTAGGTGATATACAGATTCTCTATTGATAGGGCTTATCACAATTGCTCAAAATGTTGACAGTCATTGGGTGGGGATTGCGAGCGGGCCACGCTGCATGCGATTGACGTCGGCTACCGGCACATAGACACCGCCTACTTCTACGAGAACGAGGGCGAGGTGGGCCAAGCGGTCCGCCAGAAGATCGCTGAGGGCGTTATCAAGCGCGAGGACATCTTCATAACCACCAAGGTGAGTACATAGAGATTTGGTTGGCCTGAGTACAGTTTCTTATATTTGAATAGCTTTGGTCGCACTTCCATGAGCCGGAGAGGGTGGAGTATGCCTGTCGCAAGACCCTGGCCAACTTTGGACTGGACTATGTGGATCTCTACCTGATGCATTGGCCGTACTCGTATGTCTATCGCGGCGACACAGAGCTGATGCCCACGGACGCCAAGGGCGAGGTGGAACTCAGGTGAGTTCCTCCCCCAGTCGATTCTCTCCATTTACCTATTTTGTTTTCTCAGCGACGTGGATTACCTGGACACTTGGCGTGCCATGGAGAAGCTTGTCGAGCTGGGCTTGACGAAGAGCATCGGCGTTTCCAATTTCAATTCCGAGCAGCTGACGCGCCTCTTGGCCAACTGCAAAATCAAGCCAATTCACAATCAGGTAAGGCAAGCTGTGGTATCAATATTATGCACTTACATCATATATATTCCTCTACAGATCGAATGCCATCCGGCGCTTAACCAGAAGAAACTGATCGCGTTGTGCAAGCAGCACAATATCGTGGTTACCGCCTACTGTCCCCTGGGCAGGCCGGATCCCGCCAAGAAGCAGCCGAACTTCATCTACGACGCCAAGGTGCAGGCCATTGCCGACAAGTACAAGAAGTCCACGGCGCAGGTGGTGCTGCGTTACCTGGTAAATGTCAAAAACTGAAAGGAGTACAAAGTATTTCGATTAACTTCCATTTGATTATAGATCGAAATCGGAACCGTGCCGCTGCCAAAGTCATCCAATCCGAAACGCATTGAAGAGAACTTCAACATCTTCGACTTCAAACTGGATGCTGGGGATCACGCGATCCTGGACACATACAACACGGGCGAGCGTCTTATCAAAATGGAGCATGCCGTCAAAAGCAAAAACTATCCCTTCCACATTGAGTTTTAAGAGCGAATATATGATATATTCGTACATACACATGTTTTTTTTAGCAAACTTAATTGTAAAACAATATAGTATAGCTATTATTATAGCAGGTGCATAATTAGCAGGTAACTGTTCGGGAATTTAATTTAAACGCAAGTGCAAGGCCAGATGTTATCACTACTCACACATACATATGCATCCGCTGTGTGAAGAGAGAGAGAGAGAGCGAGAGCTTTTTAGACTTTATTAAGAGCAGTCGTATGGAAAATTCCACTACCATTTGCTTGTAAATAACGCCATCGAAAAGTCAATTGGGTTAAATTTATGAAAAATTTCCATATATCTAAAAATAAGTTTTCAATTTAGACAAGCAGCATAATCATGTACTAATCAAATTGTTTTCAAGTGTGCTAAATTGTAGCGCGTACTAAGCAGCTGTTGCGTTTTTAGGGTGACCACACGACGCTTAAATGCAGTGCTGCCAGATGTTTAGTAGCTAAGTGGCAGCCTTTTGCTACTGCCGCCGCCCACTTCACGTCTGTTCGACAAATCAAAACATTCAGACACACAAATATGCCGCTTGTTGTTGCTAGTACTCGCCGAGTCAACGCAATGGTGTACGTGTACTTGCAACCCTCAAGGAGTCGCCGTCACTCAGCTGCATTGCAGTTGTTGTCTGTGCACGCGGCGCAAGGACGCTAAAACACGTGAGTGACAAAAAACGCATGCAATTGCCTAACAGTTGCCAGACTGATTTACATATTTAACACAAACAGGAATTTCCAACAACAACGAAAATCAGAAGATCGCTTCCGTCCAAAACTGAAACGATTACGAGTCCAATACGGTATCAAAGGGCAAGGTGCAGAGTGCAGCGGATCAATCGATGCCCCACTGCCACACAATGGTCTATTTACGCATTGTGCTCACCACCCTGGTGATAATAACGTGCCTTCTCGGCGACAATTTCGTGGAGCTGACACAGCATCCGCTGCTGAAGGCCCTGGCAGACAATGCCACGCATGCCGCGATTGGCGCTCTGACGGGCATCGCATTTGCCATGCAGTTCTATGAGCGCACAACTCAGCTATTCGGCTGGATATTGATTTTCAGCTGTTTTGTGGTCTCCTCGTTTATTGATCTGGATCACTTTATAGAGGCGCGCTCGCTCTACTTGGAGGTGAGATGCAGACAATCTTATATACTCGTGTAGAAAGTAGCAGCAAAGGTCGATGTACTTAAAGTATATATTCCTGATTTGTATAAGTAGCCGAGCAGATATAGCCATGTCCGTCTGCCTATTAACAACTTTTCATAGAAACAGTCTTAATTTTAAAATAATCTTCTTAAAACATTGTATATATTGCTATCTTTATCATATAGACTGATTCATAAGACTGCTCGCTTGGAAATAATGTATATTCCTGCATTCCTTTAAGTTTCTCTGTTTCAGAGCCATGTCTTATCCAACCTCTGAGTCATGTAGTTGTATAGCTATACCCGCACCAAACATTATAAATAGGAGTTTTAGTTTTCTTCTTAAAAAGAGTATTCAATCGGCTTGCCGAAGAGAGCCGTTCTTTCATGTTATAAACATTATTTGCCATTTACAGGATGCCACCAATCTGTCGCGACGGCCATTCTTGCACTGCTCGAGCATTGTGCTGGCCATGCTGTTATTTTATATATGCACCGCGTGCCTGAATTACTTCCGCAGCAGCTTGCTTTTGGGAGCCCTGCTTTGTGCCTTTATTACGCATCATACGAGGGACGCTGTGCGGCGAGGATATTGGATTTGGCCCTTCTACGACCATACGGACCGCATACCGCAGCTGGCCTACATTGTGGGCACGGTTCTTACGCCCTATCTGCTGGGCTATTTGCACAACGTTTGCCGCAGCACTTTGGTCCTCAACTTCTTGGGTCAATATGTTAAGCTTAGTGAGAGTAATTATCGCAGTGGCTACGACTCAGCCGTTGCCTATCGCTATTTGCAGCAGGTGTAAGTCTGTGATACGATAACTGAACAATTAATATGGAACTGCTACAACAAATGCTTTTTAGGCTTCAAGCACAATAAGTTAGCTTTAAGGAAAACTAGACCCAATAGCTTCCATTTGACAGGAGACAATTTTATTACAAATCCATGTGTAGCATATAGGAATACATTTAGGAGGTTTTTACTAATATCCAGCAAAAAGATAATATCCAAATTATGTGATATTTTAGTATAAGTCTGTAGTTCATAGTATCAGAGCCTAGCGCACAACTAACCGTTAGGGAATTTTCAATTTTAACATTTATTATCACAGGCAAAATACCAATTACAATTATTGGACATAAGAAAGCATTTTAATAAATAAATGCTAAACAGTTAAATTTGTAAATTGCTGTTGTATAAGCACAACAAATTTTCGTAATACCTATTGATTTCCTGGTCTCCATAAACAGTGGATAGTTTATGTGATTAAGTTGCTAAAATTTCAAGTACTAAACACGATAATAAATCACGAGAATGTTTTGCATAATATTAATCAGTGCGAATATACCTTATTCGATATTTAATTTTAATTGTGGTCTATTTTTGTATTGTATTACGTCTTAATTCGTTTGAAAACTGCCAAAAGGGTAATTTTGGAGA